GAATGATATACGAGATGATGATAGATCTTTCACGTATAAAAAAATAAAAATTAAATTTAATAAGATACAAATCAAGCTAAATGAAAGAATCAACTAAATGAGTTTCAAACTCATATTTATATAAATTAAAAGTTGATTGATTTCATACAAATTGTTAAATTAATATTATTGTAATAAAATATACATAGAATAAAAATATGATATAATATTATTTTTAATTTTTTTAAGAATAAAAATGACCAAATTGTAGTTTTTAAAATCAATAATATAATGACTTCAAATGTAAAGAGGTAAATAAAAGAGTCTCATGATTAGTGTCATATTTTATTAGCTTAATTTAACTAATAGATAACTATAAAATTAATGTTGATGAGATTATAAAGATTTAATATTATACCAATTTTTATTGTGAAATATTTATTAATCTAAATATATTATTATTAAATTTTTAATACTAAATAAATTATTTTATTATTTAAAATATATTTACTAGATTGTCGTTAATCATATTTTTCAAATACTCTTAAGTTTGCCAAAAGTTGAACTCTATCATCGAATCGTAAAATTTTTAAAAATATTATTACGATGTTCCACATTCGAACGATTAATTATATATTATATATGACAAAAATATAAACATATAAATTATTCATAATTCCATTTCGAAATAATATAATATTATCCCATCTTATATTTAAAAATTTCTCATTTAAAAATATAAAATATAAAAAAATATTATATTTAATTATAAAACAAACACTAAGTTTTTTAAAAATTTAATCATAATTTCAGTCCGCGCGATGCGCGCCGATAAATACCTAGTTTAATTTAATAAGTATGTTGAAAATATAACTTTGAAATGTATGTATATGTATATATATATATATAGTATACAAATGTGTGTGTATATATATGTATGCACATGTATTTTTTGTTTTTAATTTAATTTTTTATTATTTTTTATTATTTATGAATTTTAAAATTTTATTCGACATGATAATGGTGTATCGGTGATTAGGAGAGAAATTGATATTTTTCGGTGCCGCGTAAAATTTTCGTTTGTCTACATGGTGATTGTTTGATGGTAGAGATTTTTTTAACCAATAATTTAAAAATATATAATTTATTTGAGATAAAATAATTGTACAAAATATTTTTAGACAATATAGATATTAAACTGAAATAAAAGAAAAATATAGGTATTTTATGGCGATTAATCTATTTAATAAGTTAATTTCACTATTCCATTATGCGAAGCCTAACCAAGCAAGATCTATAGATCCTTTACGTCTTCGAGACTTGGTCCTATTGAAAAATCAAACTGTTGAGTAAAAAAGTCAATTTTACAATATTTTTTTAGGGACAATCGTCAAAAAAATCATGTACTATTTCCACGTCAATGAAAAAATTCCTTACTTTTTTGTTTACCAATTAAATCCTATATTTAGTATGATTAACCTATAAAATCTCGAAATTTTTAAAAATTCACCGAAAACCTCTCGTATCTCCCAACTCAAACAAAAACAATGATATAACAATGACATGCATCATCATAATTATACCATATCATCGTTTCAAACAAAATTTAAATTAAATAATTTATTTAAATAAATATATATACATACAAATTCATATATATATATATATATATATATA